TGTAGATAATACATCCCTTGGAGAAAATATACATAAAAGCATTGAAAACTTGTTCTGCGCACTTGAGATGAAATATGGCTATGCCATCCTCTTTCGAGCATTAAGTTATATCACATTGTCCAGGTCTGGTATTGCTGAAGCTGAACTGGTAGATTTATTATCAGCAGACAACATGGTCCTTGCACACTTGCATGATTTAAATGATACAGTAAGCCCTTTCAGAGTGCCAGATGGGCTGGTTGCCAATATCCTGCATGACTTAAAAGGTTGTCTGTCTCAAAAAATTGTTACAGGCTTCCAAATTGTGTGTTGGGCAAACAGGATTTACCAGGAAGTTGTATATAGCCAATATCTAAGCAGCTCAGATGTAGAAAATACATTGCATGTAAATATGAGTAACTATTTTAGTGGACGCTGGGCATGTGGAAGATCCAAGCCCGTATCAATAAAAACAAAGCACAATCCACCAAATGGAGAGCCTAGTTTAAATCCTGATGGCCCCAATGTCCCTGCCAAGATTTATGTTGACTGCCAACTTCCCTCCCAGCCGTGGGTTTTCGCAAATACTGATATTGGCAATATAAGAAAGGCATATGAGCTTCCATTCCAGCTGAAACAATGTGGTAAATTAGACAATCTATACAACTTTATCTGTGACTTGTTGAAAGAGATCAGGTGTCTGCTAAATGAGAATCCAGACAGTTTAGAAGATATTTTGCAGTCTAAAATGGCGTCTCTAGTGTCTAAGTATCCATATCTTTTGAAACTTGCCAAGCAATTGTATTGTGAAGGCTCCACGAGTTCCTCCATTGTTGTTTTACGCACTCCACTCACTGGTGTCCAAGCCTCCAAGGTCAAGCTACCAGACACATCATCTGTTGTTAGTATTTTGGAAATGAAAGCAAAACCTCTGTTAATAATTGTATTGGAAAATGGCTGTGTTTACACTTCCTCTTTAAGAAAGAACATAACTTTAGAGCTTCAGTTTTCAGCTCCAGCACAAGTCAGAGATGTCACTCTAGAGAACAAGGGTGGATGTCTCTCCCTTTTCACCAAAAATAATTCATTTGTGCTTCTTGACTGTTCATCTTGGGTAATTCTTCAAGAGTTTACATTTAGTAATTCCCAAGAACGTGAACGTATTCCTAAAAGCTGTCATTTAACAAACATGGCTCTGTTTGTGTGCTTTAAAAATTCCCCCATAGTTCGAATCTACAATGTCCATTCAGGTGCCATACTTAATGAGGTAACTGTCTCGCAAGAAGTGACGTACTTTGGATGTGACCACAGTGGGAAATATACAATTTTAGGACAAACAAGTACAATTTTAATTTGCGAGAATCTGGATTTTTCTCTTAAAATTCATCTTTCTTTGGATCTGAATATTTCAATGCACTCAATAAGTTATGTTTATATACAAGATTCTCTAGTGTATATTATTGACAAAGCAAGCAATATAAATGTCTGGGACATTGATGATCCAACAGAACCTCAACTTGTAGATGAACTTTTCACTCTGGAGGAAAATAATGAGATAATCTCATCAAATATCACTCCAGAATGGCTATTAATTTGTAGATCAAAAACCATAGATGTCTGGAGAACAGTGGACTGGGAAAGTAGTCATTTTAAGCCTCCTAAAGATTGTACATTTATTTGCTGTGTATTTTCCCTCAGTTGCGAAGAAATCATTGCAGCTGTGGAAAATTGTTCCACAGTATTTGTGTGGAACCGAGAGAGTGGACAGTGCATTTCTATTCTCCAACTAGAAGATGGAGATATCAGTTTGCTTACCAAGTGCCTATATCTAAGAAGCTTAGTAGCAGTCACAACAGGAGGTTTCTTGATGTTGTGGGACATAAAAGCAGTGGTCTCCTCAAATGCTTTCTCCCAAACAGGCCGCCCAGTTGAGTTTTTACTTCTTTGTCCCCAAGGAAGCGCAGCCTACACTACTGATGGTTCTGATATGGTGTGCAAATGGGATATCTTGTGTTGCAAGATCAGGAACATTTTTTCTCATGGAGATCTTGTAGAAATGATTATATTAACAGGAAATGGGGAGCTGCTAGTTACATCTGTTGTGTCTGGAGACCTCTATGTTTGGGTAACTGAAACTGGAGAAAATATCCATTACATCCAAGGCAATTCTGTATCACAATTACTTACAGCCCCTATCTCCAATATGGTGATTACTCTGTGCAAAGATGGAGCTTCAAGAGTTTGGAATCCTACAACAGGACACGTTGTGTGTAAAATACATATTTATCTCAGCTCGCCAGTCGTTACTCCTCAAGGCACCTTCCTTGTTGGCTTGCATGATGACAAACTTCTTGCCGTCAGCCTTTGGTCAGGATTAGTCACTAAGGAGTTCCATCTAGCCATGGAGAAGACAAGTATCATAGTCAACTTTCAGTGTCTGAAAAGTCAACCAGATTTCCTAGTTATCATGACTTCTGTTGGAGACATTTATACGTGGGATGTGGTAGAAGAAACAGTTTGCCACCAAGTCAAACTACCAATCAGTTTTTCGCAACCACAAAGCTCATTTCAAGTTTCATCCAATGGAAACACCATAGTCTTGACTGTGAATAAAACTGTCCATGTTTTCAACACACGTGATGGCCAACTAGGGCTTATTCATGAGCCAAACATAATTTTGCATCAACAGTTAACTAAAAGTGGTAAATATTTTCTTTACGTTTGTCATGTTAATCAATCTAAATGCAATTGTCAGTTCCATACAAACCCTATCCTGAATGTTATAAAAGCGTTTAATGGAGAGAAGACTGGCCAGTGCCATCTTGGTAAAATGCCAACTGCTGTAGCCATGTCTGAAGATGACCATACTGTCTGCCTTGGGTTTGAAGACGGGACTCTTGGCTTGTACTCAGTAAGAGACATGAGTGAGGGCAACACAAGCACTAAACATTTGTTTTCTAGTCTAACAAATAAAAGAACAACTGAAAACTTAACTGTGAAAATATTTATAGGAAAACAACTTGCAGACATCGTGTGGAGCAATTCTCCATCTATTGATTGTTCTGAATTGTGACTTACCAGCAAAGCAGGTATAAATTAGTGGGTGGAGGGTGAAGGTTTAAAAGTGCATAAAAATACAATTATTATTTATGTTAATATTCTGCAAAGATATTTTTCTTGCCTTTTCTATTTAAATGTAATACAAGCAATCTCAGCATTTAGAAACAGATTTTGTTAGTAATCATTTAATTCCAATTTAGGTGTAAGAGTGCCATCTAGTGGGGAGTTTTGTGATGTCCATTGTGTACTTTTCTTTATAAATACCATTCTATTAACATAACTCTTCTACAAGATCTTGCTAATTAGGTGGCCAAACAACAAAGATTCTGGACCACAGTCTGTTTTTGTTTGGAATGGTTTAATATTATCATTTGTTTAAACTTCTAACATATAAATTATATTTATTAGTATTAGTATACCGTCTTCCTACAACATTTATAATATGAAAATAGACTTGAAATTTGGCATTGTGATGTGTGTTATTTCTTATGTCACATTAACATATAAGCAGGCTTATGATCAGAATTTCTGGGATTGCTTACAACCAACAGGCTAACCCCCCTAACACACTCTAAGTTACTAGACAGAGATGTTCACTCACACAGATACCCCGACACACACTCCCAAAGAAACATAGTCACAGACACAAATATATGCATTCCAGACACTCTCATGGGTACACACAGATACAGACACTCACATACACCTCGACACACAAAGCCATACACACAATTATACTGATAAACACATACACACTGCTACACATATGCACACTCAGCTGCACACATACATTGCTAAACATACACACAAACACATTCACACTCATACATACACATTGCTAAACATTGATCAAGACACATACACATACAGTTCTACAAACCCACACACTGTAAAGCCACTGCTACACACAAACACTACTACACACACACAAAATATCATCTACATACACTTCTATACACAAACACTACTAAATACACAAAGTATCATCTACATATACTGCTATACAGAAACACTACTAAACACACAAAGTATCAGCTACATACACTGCTATACACAAACACTACTACACACACAAAGTATTATCTTCATACACTGCTATACACAAACACTACTACACACAAAGTATCATCTACATACACTGCTATACACAAATGCTACTAAAGACACAAAGTATCATCTACATACACTGCTGTACACAAACACTAATACACACACAAAGTATCTTCTACATCAAGCATGTCAAACTCAAAGGTTTAAGTTTATGTGGGCCACACACACACACACACACACATACTCACTGACAGACACACACACATAGTCACTGACAGACAGACACACACAGACAGACACACACACACAGTGACAGATGCACACACATACAGAGACACACACACACACACACACTCACTGCCAGACACATACAGAGACACACACACACTCACTGACAGACACATACAGACACACACACATACTCACAGACAGACACACACATACTCACAGACACACACACTGCCAGACACACACATACACTCACTGACACACACACATACTTGCTGACAGACACACACACATAGACAGACACACACGGGCCGCAAAGATGGTCTTTGTGGGCCGCGAGTTTGACATGCTTTATCTACATACACTGCTATTCACAAATGCTACTAAACACACAAAGTATCAGCTACATACACTGCTATACACAAACACTACTAAACACAAAGTATCAGCTACATACACTGCTATACACAAACACTACTAAACACACAATGTATCAGCTACATACACTGCTATACACAAACACTACTAAACACAAAATATCATCTACATACACTGCTATACACAAACACTACTACACACACAAAGTATCAGCTACATACACTGCTATACACAAACACTACTACACACACACAAAGTATCAGCTACATACACTGCTATACACAAACACTACTAAACACACAATGTATCAGCTACATACACTGCTATACACAAACACTAATACACACACACAAGGTATCATCTACATACACTGCTATACACAAACATTACTAAACACACAATGTATCAGCTACATACACATACACTTCTATACACACAATCTATACACAGACACGTTTGAACTGATGTTCTATTTAGCCACCGGCCTTTTTAATTATAATTTTAGCAGCTGGAGTGTGGCTTATCTGAGTCCACTGGAAATCAGGCTGGCACGGACGGGCCCTGGACTGTGAACTTCAGGCTCCTCTTCTAACCTCCTGCATGTCTTCTACATGTGCTGGGAATAAGGGATCTGACATCATTTCCTTCCAGCGCTGCCAAGAGGGGGGCAGCCACTAAAATCTGTTAGTGCGCCCGGATGTCAGCCCTGAGTATAGGTCACTTGGCCTGGTAGTCATGTGTTTTTGACAACTGATTTTCCTATGTATTCAAAATACTCCTTCAGCGTCAATGCTTCACCCCTCACCAGAGGGAGATTTACTCTCAAAAGTTTGAAAATAATCCCACAGTAAACGATGGCAGTAACATCATTTAATAACACCTGTTAGAGCGTGATGACAGGGACTCAAATCAAGCACATACAATTAACTCGACTGTTTCACTTGAAATTTACAGTACGCTAAACATAACTAGACTGTTGTCAGTGTCCAAAAAGTCTCCATTAAATCGAGGTAGGAGGTGTTACTATGGTAAACAATTATTATTGGCATTCCCCCTGGGACATGATAATAAGATGTGTCTCTTGCAACCATTGGGGACCAATTAAACTGTAATGGGTGCTTTCCTGTCCTTTGCCTACCCTAACTTTGCACCTGAAATATCCTTGCTTTGTACCATTGATCATTAACTATGATTCCCCTCCATTTAACTGCAATACGATCTGTCTCAGACTCACATTGTATGAAATAAAAGATAAATATATTCTGTGTATAAAGTACACAGAAATCCAGAAAAAAAAAAATACATGGAAAAATTAAAATTGTATATCAAAATGCACAGTATAAAATGAAAGCAGCGTGTGCATTATATGTAACACTTATTGAAAGGGACTAAATCTCCCCCTTTCCTGTCTGTCTGTCTGTCTGTCCACTGCCAAGTAAGTCATCCTATTGCCCCATAGTTCCTTTAGTGTGGAGGAATTGCCTTGCAAGCTCTTGGGACTACTATACTTAAAACAATTTAAAGTGAAACATCACATCATTCAACCAAGTAAACGCTATAGAAGCCCTGACTGGGCAGAACCCCGCTGTAGTGGTTATGGTGCCAGGAATCCCATGGAACCTTCCAATGGTAGACATCTAGTTAGGTACCGTAGGCCTAGCAGTCATTCTGGTCTTCTCAATATGACAAAAATTCTTATTCTATTTTATTTGTAAGAATTTTGTGTACATTTTCACTTCATTTATTGGCTAAGAGTGTCAGCTGACTATGTAAACATAGAGGATAAAAGTCTAGCTTCGTAGTGATAGAAGACCTACCTAAAAGAATACTATAGCATTAGGAATACAACCCTGTAATCTTATCTAGATTATCTATTTGGGTTCAGCCCGCCCTCGTACAAGTTAAAAAGATAGTTTCACTTACCTTTATTCACTTATCTTGCCTGACATGCTGTGGCCATCATTAAAGGACCACTATAGTGCCAGGAAAACATACTCGTTTTCCTGGCACTATAGTGCCCTGAGGGTGCCCCCACCCTCAGGGTCCCCCTCCCGCCCGGCTCTGGAAGGGGAAAGGGGTAAAAACTTACCTTTTTCCAGCGCTGGGCGGAGAGCTCTCCTCCTCCTCTCCGCCTCCGTTACGCCCCGCCGGCTGAATGCGCACGCGCGGCAAGAGCTGCGCGCGCATTCAGCCGGTCTCATAGGAAAGCATTTACAATGCTTTCCTATGGACGCTGGCATGCTCTCACTGTGAAAATCACAGTGAGAAGCACGCAAGCGCCTCTAGTGGCTGTCAATGAGACAGCCACTAGAGGAAATAGGGGAAGGCTTAACCCATTCATAAACATGGCAGTTTCTCTGAAACTGCTATGTTTATGAAAAAATGGGTTAACCCTAGCTGGACCAGGCACCCAGACCACTTCATTAAGCTGAAGTGGTCTGGGTGCCTAGAGTGGTCCTTTAATCTTGACAACTTTTCCATAGATGTGGCCTTACGGAGCTGTGTGATCTGTTTTCTTATAGGCAGCATTTACACTGTTCAGCCAGCGGGGACAAGCTATATGCCACAGAATTGCTACATTAAGTTGTAGTTGTTTTGGTGATTTTACTGTCCCTTTAATAATGAGAGAAAAACTACAAGTCCCAATAATCTTCTGTTTCTTACCAAATGTAACCAAAAGACAATAATACATAATAATATAATTAGATCTATTATAATTAACATGTGTATTATATTCTCTTTTAATGCTCAAGGCTGCTCTAACTTTAAATTGGTGGAAATAATCATCCATTTTTAAAAGGAACATACACTGATCAGCGACAACATTAAAACCACCTGCCTAATATAGTGTAGGTCCTCCTCGTGCTGCCAAAATAGCTCTGATAAGTCGAGGTCTCTGAACGTGTCCTGTGGTATCTAGCACCAAGACATTAGCAGCAGATCCTTTAAGTCCTGCAAGTTGTGAGGCCTCCATGGATTGGATTTGTTGTTCCAGCACCAAAAACCTTGAACCTTTTTGTCATGTTCCTCAAACCATTCCTAAAGAATTCTTTCAGTGTGGCAGGATGCATTATTCTGCTGAAAGAGGCCACTGCCATCAGGGAACACCATTGCCATGAATGGGGTGTATGTGGTCTGCAACAACCTCTAGGGAGGTGGTACATGTCCAATGTTTCCCAGTAGAATGTTGTCCAGAACATAATACAGCCAGTGGTGTATCCTGGTTTTGTGCTGCCCTAGGCAGGACAAAACTCAGGCTCCCCCTCCCCCCCGTGCCACCCCCACCCAACCTTCTAAAATACACACACACACACATTCACTGACAGATATGCATACACTAGCTAACAGAAACACACACACACACACTAACAGACACACTCACTAACAGACACACTCACTCATTAACAGACAC